CCCATGGAATCCGCAGGCAATATTGGCTATATCGATCATGGGGAGGAGCTCGAGGTCAGGACCGCAAGTCCAGTTGCCGTACTATGAGCACATCAGTAATGCTACCATAAAGAGCGTGATGAGATTAGGAAGAGCAAATAATTACAGCCTCCCCCATGTCACAATTGATAAGTGCCCTCTGCTGTATCGGTGCCATAATGCCTTGTATCGCAATCGGAATGAAGTTGGGGATGCCGTGAAGTTCCTCAACGATGGATGACATTCAGAGGGCGCTTGAGGAAGCAGTCAAGCAAGAACCAAGTGGCAAGCAATATAGCTATATGCCACAAAATCTAGTCTCTTCAACTCGCACGGTTGAATGGAACTTTTGACTGAGGGGTTTGGAGCTTATCAGTCATAACGGCATTGGACGGATTGGCTCCGCATTTTCTCCAAATCTCCAACAGACGGCGATCACGGCCATACCCCAGGACGATCATACCTTGTTATCTGGCATCGACCCCTGCTGTTACCTTCTTTCATTGGAGTACAGCGCCGAGGAGCTCATTGTTCAGTGCAGATGATGTCCCTCTTAAATGAAAGGGTACCCAAGTTATGTTGCTCCAAGCCGCATCGCTAGCTACTACTCTTGCGTCGGATGGATTCTTTAAAGACACTTCTTGTTGCCAACAGAGGCGAAATCGCCGTCAGAATCATTAAGACCGCAAAGTATGGTTACACAAGCTGAAGCTGCTGATTGTCTCTGATGTTGTGATCCAGAAAGCTGAATCTTCGTACAATTGCGATCTATACCGAGCCAGACGCTGCATCTGTCCATGTCCATCTAGCGGATGTCGCCGTTCTCCTCTCTGGCTCGGCCTCAAAAGCATATATCGACGGGTGAGTCTGCTTTCCTCTTTTCAAGTTTACTCTAATTCTGTGAATCCCCAGTGATCAAATTATTCAGATTGCAAAGCAGAACAAGGCGGATGCCATTATCCCAGGTTACGGATTTTTATCTGAGAATGCAGATTTTGCGAGGGCTGTGGCTGCCGCTGGTCTAATATTTGCAGGCCCCTCCCCTGAGAGCATCGAAGCTTTTGGCCTCAAGCATACGGCGCGAGATCTTGCGACGAAGGCCGGAGTTCCCATCGTGCCGGGATCACCTGGCCTGATCAAGGATGGAGATGAAGCTGTGGAGGTTGCCCAGAATTTGGGGTATCCAGTATGTATCGTGAAGCAAGAGAGACTCTTAAGAGGGACTAATGAATGGTGCAGGTCATGCTGAAAGCCACCGCTGGTGGTGGTGGAATGGGCTTGCTTACATGTAATTCTGAGGCCGAAGTACGCAAATCCTTTGCAACTGTCAAGTCGCGAGGGGAAGCATTATTCAAGAACGCGGGCTTGTTCATTGAGCGTTATTATCCATCGAGCCACCACATAGAAGTTCAGGTGTTTGGCAACGGGGATGGTAAGGCGATTTTCATCGGCGAAAGAGAATGTTCGATACAAAGAAGACATCAGAAGGTGATTGAAGAATGTCCGAGCCCTTTCGTCTCCAGGAACCCAGGGTTGCGAAAGAGCTTGGGTGAGGCTGCCGTTCGTCTGGCGGAGTCGATCAAGTATGGTTCGGCAGGGACGATTGAATATCTTGTCGATGATGAAACTGGTGCATTCTTCTTTCTCGAAATGAACACTCGCCTACAGGTTGAGCACGGGATAACCGAACTCTGCTATGGCATTGACTTGGTTGAGCTCATGCTAAATCAAGCGGATGCTCAGCTCTCAGGGAAGAAAGGCGTTGAAGCGTCTTTCCTTGCAAACTTGCCCGTGCAAACCCCTTTTGGCGCGGCTATTGAAGCAAGAGTGTATGCTGAAAATCCGACCAAGGATTTCGCTCCTTGCCCTGGAACATTACGAACCGTCGAATGGAAGGAAATACCAGGTTCGAGGATTGATACATGGGTCTATCGAGGCATCAAGGTATCCGCCAATTACGGTATGTCCCACGAGCAACATCCCATGTTCGGGTGTTTTGGCCGAGCTGACAGAAGTATGTAGACCCCCTACTTGCGAAGGTCATGTACCACTCGCCAGATAGACAGCAGACTATTGTGGGGATGAGGGAAATTCTGGGGAAATCACGCATCTGCGGCCCTCCAACCAACCTGGATTTTCTGGCTAAGATTCTAGAAGAGGAGACCTTTGTTGCAGGCAACACATTGACAAGGTTTCTGGACAATTTTCAGTACACACCGTCAGCAATCGACATCATTTCGGGTGGCGCCTATACACTCATCGAAGACTGGCCCGGCCGTCCGACTTTAGGAAGGGGGTTTTGTCATTCTGGGCCAATGGACCCGCTAGCTTTCCGCATCGCGAATGCCCTTGTCAATAACCCCGTCGGCCTTGAGGCTCTGGAAATTACCCTGAGCGGTCCAGATCTACGGTTCCTCGGGCCAGCAATTATCTCCCTTTGTGGAGCGCCGATTGAAGCCAAACTCGATGGAGACACTGTTCCAATGTGGTCAAGAGTCAAGGTAGCCGCTGGCCAACGTCTGACTATTGGTAAAACTACCGGAAATGGCTGCAGGGCTTACCTCGCTGTCTTTGGGGGATTCCTCAATGTGCCCAAATGGTTTGGGTCAAAGTCGACATCTCCAGGTGTAGGAGTTGGAGGTTACCAAGGTCGGCAGCTTTCATCGGGCGACCTTCTCACAATCACAAGCGTGATTCCGGAAGTCAATAGTGATCTCCATCTACCAGAACACCTCATCCCCGATTACCCAAGTCACTGGGAGCTACTAGCCATGCCAGGACCCTACGATGAGGGCTATCTTACTCCCGAGAGCATCGATATGCTGTTCGAGACTTACTGGAAGATTTCACATAATGCGGCAAGAGGAGGCATCCGTCTCATCGGTCCCAAACCACGCTGGGCTCGCTCGGACGGAGGAGAGGGCGGTGCACATCCTTCTAATGTGATAGAATATGGATACGCAATCGGCTCGCTTAACTGGACAGGCGACGATCCCGTTATCTTTCCACAAGATGCACCGGACTTTGGGGGATTTGTGAGCAGCCATACGATCGTAAAGGCGGATCTGTGGAAGTTGGGACAGGTGAAAGCGGGGGATACCCTGAAATACAGAGCAGTTTCTTTAGCTGATGCCCTGGATGCACGGAGGGATATGGAGAGGTTCGTCGACGAAATGGTGCAATGCTGCAAGCAAGGGCATGGGTTCAAAGGCGTGAAACCGCTGAGAGGCATGCCTCCTGAGCAGACAGCCAAGACTCGCGGCAAAGGCGTGGTACATCGGATTGAAGAACAAGGGAACCAGCCCCTTGTGTCTTACAGACAGGTATGATGCACTTGTTGGTTCGTTTGGCTCTCAGCTGATTAACTACTTCTTTAGGCAGGGGACGACTATCTCCTGATTGATTATGGTCACGGGTCATTTGACCTGAACCATCGTTGCAGAGTCACTGCACTAAAGAAGGCCCTCAAGGAAGGAAAAGAGATCACGTTCTCGAATGGGCTCATAGCAACGGTTGGATGCGGAAATTGTAAGAGCTCGCCCGGGCAGACGAGGACTTCATACTAACCCACTCTCCGCAGCGCTGATGATCTACTACGACGGCATTAAACTCTCTCAGCGAGGACTAATCAGCTATCTCTGCGACCTCGAGACGAAACTCGGAGATCTTAGTCAAGCAAAGATGCCGAGTCGGCTGTTCAGGCTTCCTCTCACGTTCGAGAGTCAAAGACAAAAGGATGCTCTTCAGCGCTACATGGAAACACAGCGTCCATATGCTTCCTACCTTCCAGACAACATGGATTTTGTAGCCAAAAACAACGCTTTCACAAAGGAAGAGTTTGAAAATATCTACCTGACAGCCAACCTGATGGTTGTCTCTGTTGGATTCTTCACTGCACTTCCGCTCGCCCTGCCTGTGGATCCTCGACACCGCATGAACTGCCCTAAAATGAATCCAAGTAGAGTATATACTCCGGCCGGGTCAGTATCATGGGGTGGAAGCTGCATGGCGTGAGTACTGTTCAAGAATTCAAAGTTTTCCAGAGGCAAACGTTGACCGCAAGTAACAGTCTGTACAACGTCGATTCGCCTGGTGGATATCAACTGACCGGAATGACCATACCGGGTGTCGACATCCTGGGCTCGAAGAAAGGCTACACCGCCGACAGACCGTGGCTTTTCGAAGAATTTGATCAGATAACCTTCTACCGAGTCTCCGAGGAAGAATACGAAAAGCAGCTGGCGCTATTTAATAGCGGCCAATACGAATATCAATGGGAGGAGGTTGTTTTCGACATGGCGGATCACAATCGGCTCTTGCAGGAAACGCGCGACGAAGTAGCAGCTATCCGAGCACGCCAGCGTCAGGCGCAGGCTGAAATGGATAAAATCGAAGCGGAGCTGCTCGAACGCTGGGCGAAGGAAAAGGCCGAGAGGGGGGTATCTCCGGATACAATCCAGAGTTTACTTCAAGGTAGGCATTTTCAAGGTTCATCAAAGAAGTCGATGCTAACATGTACGTTCCTTGACACCTTAGACCCTGAGATCATCACAATCGAAGCGCCCTTGAATGCCAACGTGTGGAAAGTCGAGATCAAACAAGGAGACAAGCTTGAAGAGAACCAGGTTGTGGTCATACTAGAAGCGATGAAACTCGAAATTGCTGTGCGAGTCGAGCCTTCTGCAGCGGGTGCCACTGTGGAGAAAGTTTTGGCACCACCAGGAGATCCGATCGAGGCTGGTAAGCCACTATTACTTGTGCGGAAAGTGAAGGGCTGAGTGAAGAGTCGATAATTGTACTGTCACATTCGGGTTGGCCCCAAAATTGTCTGTAAACTACCTTATCTACGTAGCATAAGCGTAACCACCAGGACGAACTCTATGGAGTCTCCAAATCTAAGACCTTTTGGACAAATAACAATCGTTTCGTAGGTATGGTATCTCATCATCAATCATCAAAGGGAAATGGCTTCGCTGAAGCGTCTATTCCCACCAGAAGCTGACGCTAATTCCAGCCTTGATGCCACGGACATAATGCCACCATCCCACTGGAATATACAAGCACTCCCCTTCCTTCAGCACGGTCTCGACATACTCAGCCTCCGAAAACCCAGGCCACATCGCATCCCACTGTTCGGACTCGGCCGGGGAGAGCTCAATGGCTGCCAGGTCGACCTGAGAAGTGTTGGACATGTCGATGAGCTGTGTCTGCTTCTCGACCCTGGCTTCTGAGCCTTTCCCTTGCAGCTGGGCGGTATCAGACAGGCCTGTGGTGGCATTGGATGGTGACGATGAATTGACGGCCTCCATGCCCTTCGGATAGATCTGTGAGGCTGGCGTGCGAGGCGAGTAGAGCCGAATGTACTTCGCGCCAACCACCTGGACCAGGATGTTGTGGTAGGGATCGTGGTGGAGAGGAGATATGGTCCATGAGGGGCCAATCCAGGTGTTTATGATTGGGTCGCTGGGGACTCCCAGGACGGAGGACTCGTCATCGGACGCTGCGTTACCACGTTGTTGTTGCTGCTCATGTGTCTTTGTATGCGTTTCGTTGCCGCCTGAGGAGGCATTCTTCGATTTCAGTTTCTCTTCTCGTTCTCGCTGCTTCTTGAGGTAGACTGGCGTTCCTGGCTCGGGACCCGGAGGCTCGATAAAGCAGTAATCGGGGATGCAAATGTCCTTTCGTAGGGCCGGGATCTGGGAGAGCAGATCATGCTGCGCCATGTACCCCGTTTCGCCCGTATCGTTGCGGTCATCCTCGCGCTTGTTCCCAACCCCAGATGTCTTGCCCTCTCCCCTCCAGAGAAACTTGTCCACGAATTCTCGAAACTCCATGATTCGCTGGCCCCATCCTTCGTCCGTGTAGGATCGGCCCACCTCCACGGGGACGAGCCTGCGACCGCCAAGGGTGTGATCGAACCAGTAGTCGCGTGACGCCCAGGGCCGCGTCGACAGCGCAGGCCAGTGGTCCACCGCGTCGGCGATCACCAGCGGTGTTCTGACGTGCTGGATATGGTGTTCGATGGCATCGAAGGACGGCGCGGATACTCGGGGAATAGGATGTTTCAGGGTCGTCGCAGGCACAGCATCGGGGGGGAAGAGCGGCGGTGAGAGCTTCCTGCGTTTGGAGGCATGGCCGTCGAGTTCTGACTCACTGAGGTTACCGCCGTGGCCTTGGGTGGAGCTCAGATCCCTCTTCCCTTCGCAGTAAGCTTTTGTAGCGACTTGGAGAGCGGAGAAAAGCGATTCGACCAGGTTCTCGCGGAGGGGGGCGCCCGTCATGATCAGTGCATTGTCGAGAGTGTAGATTGTCGACAACAGCCATGGCGCGTCGGGGTCAAGCTTGTACTCGTGTTGCTCCTTTTCGCTTGCGATTGGGTCAAGCTTTGACGCGTGGTCAGCGCCATCTGCGAGTCCAGAATCGTTGTCTACCAATGTTCCGTCGCACGAGAAGCCACAGTTGTTGCAGATAGCCAGGCACACTTTAGCAATGCTCGCGTCCGTGTAGAGTCTTCGCCAGCATGTTTTCACATCTTTGAATGGGAAAACGCGTAGTTTCGCGTCTGCAAGCTCGAGGGCACGGTCGGTATTCTTTAAAAGAAGCTCGCGTAGTGCAGCAAGGTCGTTGTCGCAACAGTCGAGGATGGGATCTTGGGGAGCTGGATTGGTGAGGGTTGCCAGCGCGTTGGCGATGACAGAGTTGAGCTGCATCATCTCTGCACAAGGGAAAATTAGAGACTCATGAAGTCAGAACTTATCATTTCCAAGAAGAATAGAGATCAGTGAGATGATAGAAGTAGGCTGAGAGAATTCATGCCGTAATTGTGCTTTTTAAGCTGTGTTTTCTCTCCTTTTCACTCCACACATCAATAGGTGAAAGCGACGTCATTACAAGGAACTTTTTGATAGAGTATATGGTGGAAGTGAATCACCATGCTACAATAATGTTTATATCCTGTTTTTTCCTTTTTGATGGAGGTAATAATATGCAAAACAAATCCTCAATGAACCAAAAGCATTGGTTTTCATTAATATAAGTGGGACTGGAGTGTGAATTCAGGTAGATAAACACATTCTGGTGAATTGTACATCTATATATACATAACTCGAAGGGAAATCGACCATATAACCCATTTTTTACATATGATACAAAGAATCATCATTCCCTTATCGCCTCCCAGGTGTCATTTTGATGCTGCAACATAGGCTCAGTCTAGCAACTCCACCACAAGCTTTGGAATTCGACTGACTCCCTCGCCTCTGATGGCGCTCACTGGAACGGCGCAGACCTTTGCTTTCCAACCATCTGGGTATCCTCCTGGGTGGTCAACCGCACCATTTTGAACAGCAGCGAGGTAGTCTCGCAGGGTCTTGAATCTGTCTTGAGTTTCTGGCAAGTCGGCTTTCGTAGCTACGACAAACCAAGGTTTTGTGTGAATAGGCGGAAGCTCAAGGGAAGGGAGCTGCCCTTTCGTGCTGTCAGGGATATTCGGCGGGTAATTCCATGAAGAATCTAAGTCGTCCGCGGCATTTTGTGAAGTGAGTTCAGGCAGACCTCCAGTCGGTTGCCACCCATCTTCGCTCTCGAAGATGGGCTCGATGTTACGTATCCGTTCATATTCGCCGAGCTCATGCCACAAATTCTGAAGGCCTTGCACAGGGTCTCCTGCACTCAAATCTACCACGAAGGCCAGAATACCCGCCCGCTCAATGTGTCGCAGGAACCCTAAGCCAAGACCGCGGTCGAGATGAGCGCCTTCTATCAGACCTGGAATGTCTGCTATGGTGAACTTGGTCCGCAATGCCTTTCCCTTGGCTTCCACAAGCGGCCTTCCCTTGTGGTCATCAATAACGACAGTCCCGATATTGGGGGAGAGCGTGGTAAATTCCCAATTTCCTATGCGCGTGCGACTGTTGGTCAATGAACGAAGAAGCGTGCTTTTACCAGCATTCGGCTTCCCGACTAATCCAACATCGGCAAGCAGCTTCAGTTCAAATTCAAGCTCCAGGCGCATGCCCCCTTCTCCCCTCGACGCGAACTTTGGCCGAGTGATCGAACGGGATACCCAGTGGGGATTGCCCAGACCGCCGACGCCCCCTGCGGCCAGCAAAATCGGCTTATCCATTGGTTTTGAGAGGTCGAGGTATATGGGCGCCTTGGGTTCCATGGCGGCGATATTCTGTCTTCGAGGCGGATTCCTTGGAAAAGCCGTAGTCAGGAAATCGGAAGGATTAGAGCCTGGGTAGAGTACCCAGCGATCATGACGAATTGAGGGCAGCCCAATCTCATCGAGCTCGTCGACCTCGATCGCAGGCGCCTTTCGACGCTTGAGTGCCTCCGCCACTGGATCGTATCGCTCTATCTCTCGCACCACCGTCCCTACGGGAACTTGAAGCAGGACGTCCTCTCCTCGCCTGCCTCCTTTGCTCTTTCCTTGTCCATTCTTGCCCCTTCCGGCTTTGATTACTCCTCGACGAGCAAGTTTGTGCAGGCTAGTAATGCCCTCGACAGCTTGGATATAGATGCTTCCGCCGCTCCCACCGTCGCCCCCGTTTGGTGGACCTTCCTCAATGTACTTTTCACGGAGAAACGAGACACATCCATTGCCACCAGACCCAGCATATATTGTGGAGCGACATTTGTCCTGAAATATGAACCGAGAATAATCGTCAGGCGGTGGATTCAGGTGAGAAAGGCTAGGGGAATCTTCGGCATCTTGAGCGGTGATTAATCGATCCTTCGGCTGTGATGGGGCCCGGTCGCTGCTGTACCATCTACCAAGTACAGAAGCGACGCTTAAGTAGGATATTTCTGCGGTTAGTGGTCGCGCGGTTCGTTGAAGGAGAGAAGGAAACGAGAACAAAAGACTTGTTCGTGAAGTCATCATTTCAGATCGCAACCTCGGCGTAGTTCATCCTGGAGAGACGAGTCTCTGATCTAGGACATAGACATTGATTTGGCGCAAGATAACGACATTCCCGACTTTTCACTCGGAAACAAACAGTGAGGTAATATGGTTCAAATCGTCGTCAAAGAAGCTTCTTTGGGAGCTCGATTCTTGTGATAGAGGCACGTGATGAGTATCATCATCACGTGAAGATAGCAGATACGAGTTGGTGCCTTGCAGCCTTGCCCTCAAATCAGCTTTGGCTTCAATCTTATTTCAGTTTGCATTGTTTTGCGAGTTGCAACCCTGTTCGCGAGCATGAAAACCCCGGTTTCCTGGTCATGATGATTGTGGCTCAACACAAAACACACGAACAAGTCCAATCAGACCCGCTATCCTGTGGTGATCCAATCCTACGGAGTAGTTACTCGCTGAAATAGTCACAGAGTTGTCACACTCCGTCCAAATTCTACGTATCAACTGCTTGACATATGACTTTTGCGCCTAGCTTGGGGCGAGTCAGTGTTCGATCGGATGAGATGTGATGATGACAGATCAATGGAACCAATCAATTGCCGACCCGATCTAAATCCATCGAAAGCCTGTCAAAGAAATCCTGAATATTAATTGAATATGTGACCTAGGATGCTAAAAACCTGAGTCTATTGGGGCCAGAACCCTGTTCCTAACTTGCAAGGGCTAGATGCAGGTCTGGCTGCCCCGGACCTAGAGAGCCACGCACACAAAAGTACGTGATTACCTCGCAATCCCACCAAGCTGTTCTGATCGAAGATGGAGAAGTGGAAACAGTGATGTCAAGTACCTTTGTCCAGTCAATGGTGGATGCGAGGATCGACAAACAGCACTCCGTACAACCGAGCTCAAGGCTAGCTGCCTGTCAGCGTTTTTCGAGCCATTCACAATAGCCATCTGCGCTTCATTATCACAGAGGTAGCTGACTCAGAGTGCTCCTTGTACGTGTCTCGGACTTGAGTTGTCGTTTAAATAATCTTGTCTCGAATCGCTTCCACATCGAGTCTAGACACGTTATTTTTGGATTGAGTACTTGAGATACTACGGAGTACAGAGTCCGTCTAGTGAGATGAGAGACAAAGGGGATCAGCAGACCAGCTACCATTGCCTCACTCTGCAATGGCACTAAGGGACTCCATTATTGCGCAGTTTCCGCAGCCATGAATGAAAGCAAAGCTCGCTTGTTCTCGCCTTGAAAGTTGAAACTATCTAAACTGGGACTTAATGTATCCATGCTTGTTCTAAACGGTGTTTATGCTGTAGGGTCTATTTCAAGGTGGAGCTCCACCAGCATCGCAGTGCAGACGCCACAGAAGAGTTACAACCACGAAGTCATATGGCTACATTTTCCTCCAGCAATCTCGAGGAAGGGCCAGTTGTCGGTGCCACGCAGAGTTCGGTGACAATGGTCTGATGCAGGACTTCCAGATCTCTGCTAGATGAAGTGAACCATCGGATCCGAAATTTCGGGACTACAGATCTCAACCTAAGTTAACCTGTCAGATAAGAAGACGGAACGATCCCTATCCCTGTCATTGCATGATCGCAGTGACCGATGATGATGATGATGATGATGATGATGATGATGATGATGATGATGATGATGATGATGATGATGATGATGATGATGATGATGATGATGATGATGATGATGATGATGATGATGATGATGATGATGATGTGGTGTCAAAGCTGACGTTGCTTGCAGTGGCATCACGATGATGGATCACCCTGGTCTCGACTTGGCTGCTTCTGGATCTCAAAAAGAAAGTCGCACCAAGATTCCTGCTCATGCCACCGATGCTACGGCCAGCTATGCGATCCCGGCGTACCACGTCCTCACCCTGAAGACATGGACGTGGCTTGTTGATGAAGTGGTACGGCTTAGCAGTGTTGTCAGTCCCTGCGGAAATGGAAACAATACATGCGCCTGTCCTCTCCGGAATGGCGCACAGTGAAATCGACTACGTTGAAATACGATTATAGCTGGTATCCTTGCAACACAAAAGTCATAACAGATCTTCAGTCTGGAGAGATCGGGATGTACTCCGTATCATTAGATGAAATGTAAGAAAACATCATAATGGTTTGCTGTCCTTAGACCAGTGATGAAGCACTTGCTGAACTTATTATCAATCAAGCCTATCAACTCTCAACATCGCGTTCAGTAATCAGTCTCATAGATAATCAGTCTCAACACTCAATGATGGTACAAACCTACCTAGGACCTGGCCCTCATAATTTCCAAAAGTCCTCGAAGATAGATCCATCCAAGATAATTGGCGGACTCCATTATTCTTTCTGTGCGCCCCTCATGTTGACATTCACAATGCACAAATTCCTAGCGTTGAGTTAGACCTTGCCTAACACTGTGATCTGTTGGGTTCAAGTCTTAGCCTCAATGTATGGAGGACTCAAATTTCCATTGTAGAAAATCGTTCGACGTCTACTAGGTACTAGGTATGTAACTGGTACCAAGGGCCGCCATCGATGTATTCCGATAATCCAATAGGAAAGCGTCCCTGACATCGCGGGAAAAGGGGAGGTCCTTGATTATCCTGGCATCCTGCAGCTCACATGATCAATGGCAGGTACAATAGTCGCTGGACTAAACAGGGCCTAAAAACAGGGCGGAAACAGGAAGGGGGCCGGGGGAATGAAAAACATACCTTTTGCCGCTCTAAGCCCGGAAACAAAAGACACAGGTAGGCTAGGTAGACTAACTTTTTAGAATTTTAGATATTAATTGGAAAATTATTAAACGAAGTCACATAGAGTAACGTAATCCACAAG